TATTATTATGTGATTTATATTAGTCACATGGATTTTGACATTTAAATGCACAGAATTCACAAACTCTTTGAAGGTCACTGATTTTATATCATATGGAATATACACAAAATATGTAGTGTATTTTAACACCTATCATATAATGTCTACATAAGGAGCAATTACATGGTATTTTCTTGGAATTTGTATCCCTGTTACCTAATCTCCTAATACTATAATATACAGTATACAAGAGATTGCGAGAGACCTTCATAGAATCCATGCTGCTTTGGAAATGATATACCATATATTTGATTTACAGTCATGAATTGGATGCAGTGTGAATCTGACACAACAAAACTGCATTGGAATTGTAGATTTTCAGTATAATTACAGGCTCTGTCGTAGTACATATTAGGCACTATGGATGATCATATAGAAAATCCTTTGACAGTTATTGAAAACCTATATAAAACATATATTGCATGAAATTGTGGCTTCCTTAAGTAGACATGCTGGGACTGCTCTACATGAAGTGCTGTTTTGTAATTCCTATCTAACAGACGCCATTTACATACAGTCATGTGTAAAAGTAAGTAGCACCCTAAGAAAATTGTTGACATTTTCAATGTATTTTAACAGACAATCATGAGATCTTCATTTAAACGGTGCTTACCTAAAATGTGATATATATAATGTACTTGAATAAAAACACAAAGAAAGTTTACCTTTTCAATCATTTATTCAATATCAATAGATGTAATGGTGTACTATGGAAAGAGTAAGGAAACATTTGGCCTCACAAGTAGAAATTGTTCTTTTAGGCATTTTTCATAACTACCCGTCAGTCTCTGACATCACCTTGGAAAAATTTCTTCTGTTGCAAGAGGTTCATGGTTGCCCTTGCATGAACTGCCCGCTTCAAAATAACTCACATTTCAGTGGAGATTAGGGCTTTGACTCGGCCAGTCTATAAGCCATCATTAAATGTGACCCTGCATTTTTTATTTAATTAAATGCAGGAGAAATTGATCTAGGAAGTATAAACAAATGTTATACTTTCCAGATAAATTTTTCCTGCGTATAAATGTACATGTGTTTAGATGTGTTCAGAGTCTTCAATCTGTCCCTGGATGCACAAATTCTTTGCTTTCTTTACTCAGCTAAAGAGAATGCACTTGAGCATAAATAAAAACACAGTATACCATTTAATATCGTTACATACATTTATTTAAAAATGTCCAACAAATGCATAGTATGGCATGTCCAAACGAATGCGGCCTAACCGTCTATTTCTTCTTTTTGAGTCATTCTTTGGTGGATTTGCTAGAGAGCTTCATCTCATTGTGCTGAAAGATCCATTTCCAGTTCAACTTCCTCTTTTTGGGAAAGCGTTGTGTCTAACACAAAACATGTTAGAATAGATCTTGTTCCTGCTAGTTATTTTAATAAAGAATACTATTTTGCATCTCAGTGTATGGCATTCCTGCTGCTGGTGCAACCGATTGCTTTGATGCAAACAAGCCAAGCCATCACCTGAGATGTGATTGTGGAAGGTGGAACCTGATCTCGCCTGGAGCAGATTTTGAAATATTTTCCTTTTTCTGACAGATTGGTCTAACATTCCCATCAAGGACACTTAAATATGATACAGAAATCATAGTTGTCTTGATGACTTTAAGCATACGTACCGTACAATATATGTGTTGGGAGGAGTTGTGGACATTTTTAATAATAGATTTTTGAGAGTTATTTATATTTTATGGTGAATATATGGTTACCAAATATTGATACATGGTTATTATATGCACCACACAAATGTGCCTGTGTGCCGGTGTGTGTTTTAACAGGTTGACATTTGTGTTTAATGTGCATTTAAATGCCTGATTATTTTTTTTATATTTCTTTATTCAAATTATGTCAGGTGATCTGCATGTGAGTTGGTGACAATATTAGTTACACCACAAATCCAGTTTAGAGTATTATATGCAAAAGTCATAAAGTCACTCTATTACCTGAGTAAATATACTTAAAAAAAATGTATGTTGCTAGGTGGTGACTTCAACCATAATTTTGACTATGAACCTCATGTTGTTATCCACAAAAAATATTTCCCTCCTAGGTACTTAATCATGATGTTCTTGAAACTGTTCTTCAATTTGTTGAGTAGTGTGTGTGGAAAAATAGTTATCTTGGAATATTTGAACAATATTCACACCATAAAGTTAATCTGTCATGTAAAATGGACCCATATTGCTTGGCCATTAAACAACCATGCAGAATATGATGACCTAACCACTCCTAGGAGATGGGTAATCATACCATTATGGATCCCTGACCATGTTTAATGATTGGCAGGAGACACTTTGGGCTACAAGATATATGATGACACAGATTGTATCCTGTTTCCTAATTGCACATTCTAGGTATCTGTATAGTGGCCCTGGATACATGTAATTTCTTTATGGCAGCCCTGTCATAAATTCCAGCTATATGAAGCTCTCAACAAAGTATTTATTGAGGCTGGCAGAGGATGCCGATTTAAGTTTGGCAATTTTGGAAGCTTTCTTATTTGAAACTCAGCAGCTATCCTGTTCAGTGTACCTCTAACCACTTGCAAGCACTGTTCCTCTTTCCTTATACAGTTTTCCAACAGTTAATATATGTGGTTATATGTCTTTGGGTTGGTAGCAAGTGATGCAAAGGTAATATTTTTGAACTGCTGCAAACAAGATGTTTCCAATTCTGGCCAATGCAACCTGAAGTCACATAGGTGGTTTAGGCATATGTCTGTCTGATTGGAAATGAGAACTTGTATTGTTAATTTACTATAAATTACCCCAGTGGAACATACCTTTTCTTCAGTGGGTTATACACTGATTTAGATGACTTTATTTGCTTTCTTGGTTTTGAAATGTGATATTTGAATGGTCTGAGACAAGTACAATTATGTGGCTTTAGAAATGCACATTTATTAATCATTATCTTTTAAAGAACACATTTTTTTTTAATTGTCTCACTGTGGTTTTGAAATTGGCCACTCAGCACTGAATGTGAAATGTTTGGCATACAAGCTGGCTTTATAGACACAAAGCATTATTCTGCTTGCATACTGGAACTAAGTAAATACAGCATCTCTTGGTCACCACCATTATCAGGAGACACTAGATGCCATTTGTTTGGCAGTTGTCAAACTTTCCCTAAAAATGGACAGAAAAGCAAACTGTATACTCAGTAGAAGAGATTAGTGTATCAGAAACATTGCTGACACATTACTATTTATTTACTACTGTCATCTATGAAGATATGTTTGATCTTTCAGGAATCATGTAATTTACAAATCCAGGCATTGTTTTTCAGGAGTGGTACATAAATACTTGTGAGATTCATATGTCTATAGTCATTGCCATATTTCAATAGTTACCCCCCCAAGTCACAGTGAAGTGACTGATAAACCACTATACATCTAAGGACTGTACTAAATAATGTTTATGTATAACAGCTGGCTAAAACCACTTATGGCACCCAATGAAGTTTGGTAGGCGCACTTTACACCACTTACAATATGTTAGCTAGATTTTTTTCTATACTATGGAGATCTTAAAAGTTTTGAAATTATTATTACATTATTGCTTAGTTCTTTATTGACTTCTTACATTGGAATGGATTGCTGTATTGTTACCAAATAATATATCTTGTCTGACACTGCTTATGAGGATAATCATTAGAGGTGGTGAATCTCCATAATGGTGATACAGACAGTAAATTTGTGACAGGTGTTCTAACCCCTTTACCAATATATGCAAACCAAAAAATTAAAAATGGCTCTAGACACACCAACATTGTTACTGATGTATTCTTTAAAACATCAGTTTCTTGGCTACCAGTCTTAAAAAAATTCAAATTTCTTCAAAATGAAGATTCTGTAGTTCTCCTCACAACAAAACATTTGTATGTAACCTGTGATTTTACACAATATCTCCAAATGGAATTTTCATAAAGCTTATACCTGTAAGGAAGGATATGGTTAAACAGTCAAAACATATGATAAACAAATGCATTCAGTCTTTTTCAACTAATTTGAGGAACATTAAAACTATTCAATTAAAGTGTTACTAAATCCAGGACCCTGCATTTACTATACCTGGCAGACTGGGACAAAAAAATAGGCCCGGGCATTTTAGACTGAGCAGCCAAGGGTGTTCGTGGGGGCAGTTGGTGATGGAATAGTCATGGAGTCGGTCCACTGCACTGTAATGTAAAGGAGCACTGTATTGGTTACAGTGCAGTCCCCTTTATATCAATTAAAGTTCCCCTAGAGATCTAATCACAGTGCCCCTTATATATTAAAAGATGTCCCAATCCAAAAAAGAGACATCCCTATATAGCAAAGAGACAGCCTATTCCAGCAAAGAGAAATTCCCATCCACAAAGAGACAGGACGTCTCTTTGCTCGATTGGGTCCAGCAACGAGACATCCACATCCATCAAAGAGACGTCCAAATCCAGCAAAGAGACATCCAAATCCAGCAAAGAGACATCCTGACTAGCAAAGATTCAGCCCATCCAGCAAAGGGACATCCTGTCCAGCAAAGAGACAGTCCATTCATCAAAGGGATATCCCATCCAGTAAAGAGACAGCCAAATCCACCACAGCTACAGCGGTGTAAGTGTGCCATTGTCGCTGCAGTGTGGCTGTGTGTGCAGCAGCCAGCCGGGGAGGTGTCTGTGTGTCCTCAGCGGCACTTCCTGCTTGTCAGCCAGGGCCGTCTCTGCCGCTCCTCCTGTTGGCCCTGCTTTAGGCATAGTTGCATAGTGGGAGGTGAGCGGCCACGGTCTGTGTTAGCCCTCTCCAGACTGGGGTCGCCACTTACCTCTCGCTGTGTGGCCCGGTCATTAACAGGCCGCTCTTCTTAAGCCCGTCGTCCCCAGCCCAATGTCCAGTTCGGGCCTGATACCTAATCTCCCACAGTACACAGAACATGGGAATGCAATTATTTTAGTAAATCTAAACTGCTAAATACCTTTTCTCATCAGCAGTTAGAGCAGTCTTGTGACTTCTAGCAGTGTCCAGCCAAGCACTGGTTAAAGCTTGTACAAGGAGTTTTCATTTTCCCCCAATTGTCCTATGAGACTGCATAAGCCCGGATCCTCTGTCTGGACAGTACTGATTGGCCCTGTGCTGTTCACATGCACTCTCCCAAGAAAAGGAAAAAACTCTCTAACAATACACACCAAACTGAGCATGTGCAGTTTGCCTCCAAAGGCTCTGTTTTATCAGCAGATGCATTAGGGACAGTAGAAGAAGGGGAGGATCAGAGAAGACAGAATCAGACATCCTTTTTACACAATGCGGAGGATTAACCCCTTAGGTTCCACAGTGAGTATAACAAGCATGCTTTACTGCATATAGACTGATTTTACTGTTGTGGGTTTAGTACCACTTTAAAGACCATAATCTAGAGCCTAACTTAAGTTTTTCCCCAGAATCAACTTTTCTGGCTACTGCTCAATGACTGAGGAAAAGCTGAGGCCTTGGTAGAAGACCTTATCCTATCTGAAAAACAGTGTAGTACATTGTAGGGCATGAGCATACATTATCCTAAAAGCCCAATGGAATGCTTATGCATTCATTGCTTTTTAAAGTGAACCAATCAAGATAGATATATGGAAGATACCTTGTGTAACAGAAGCCCCACTGCAAGGGAGAATTTTAAAATTCCCTGGAGTGGGGCTTTAACTACTTCCTTACCAGGCCAATTCTGACACTTCTCTCCATATATGTAAAAATCTGCGTTTTTTTTTTACTAGAAAATTACTTAGAACCTCCAAATATATATATATATATATATATAAAAAAGCAGAGGCCCTAGAGAATAAAATAGTGGTTATTGCAATTTTTCATGTCACACGGTATTTGCGCAGCACTTTCTTTTAAACGTTTGTAAAATATGAAAGATGATGTTATGCCGAGTAATAGATACCCAACATGTCATGCTTTAAAGTTTTCAATGCTCATGGAATGGAGCCAAACTATGGTACTCAAAAAATCTCCATGGGTGGCGCTTTAAAAATTTCTACAGATTACCAGTTTAGAGTTGCAGAGGAGATCTAGTGCTAGAATTATTGCTTGTGCTCTGACATTTGCGGCGATACCTCACATGTGATCTGAACACCATTTACATTTGTGGGCGTGACCTACATATGCAGTCTGTGCACCAGCATGGGGGGAGGGGACACTTTAAAACATTTTTTTAAAATTATTTTATTAAATTTTTTATGCTGTCCCTTTAAAAAAAAATGTTATCACTTTTTTCCTATCACAAGGAATGTAAACATCCCTTGTTATAGAAATAAGCAGTGACAGATCCTCTTTATGGAGAGATCTGGGGTCAATAAGAAAATGCTGGGGGTCAGCATTAGAAAAAAAAAAAAAGGCCTTGTTTGCATTAGGTCAGAACAGGATGTGACGTCATGATATTGCTCCAATCCTCTTAGGCCATAGAGATGAGAACGTCTTTTGCTTATGGCTCTATAATCTATTATTCATGAATTTGTGTCATACTATGTTTTTCTGCCTCCTTGTAACATCCTCTGTGAGCTCCTGAACCTCTCATTTTCCCCCTCACATCCATTTGTTTGGAACGAGAAGTGCATGTTTTTTGCAGTCATGTGCACTGCTCTGTGCATACATCCCATAGCACCTCTCAGGAGTAAACAAAAGAGGGTGGCTACATTCCTCCATTTAGTGGAACCATAGAATAAATGTAGCCATTCTCTAACAGAAAGTCAGGTTATAGCAGAAAAACAAATGTACTTTTAAGGAGGCAGAGAGATATAGAAAGTACTTTTTGGAGGAAAGAAGACATACTTTTTAAAATCACAATTTAGTTTACTTTAGGGATAAGATAGCCAAGATCACATCGGTCATTGCCACAAAAGTTTAATTTAAAAAAAAATTGCTTCAATCAAGGTTTCAGTCTACTTACCATTGAGGTCCCAGTTCTCTTTGACACATGAAAAAAACATCTGGAATAGAGCAGTTCCTTAATTACAGAATACCATACCTGTAATGCTTTGGGGGCCATCAAAAATGAGAAGACGTAATCAAGGATATTTTATTGGTATTTGTTAGAGTGGTGGTAAAAGCCATTGTCATAACATTAGTAACCACAGCTGGAAACTGATCTTCTCAACAACTCAATGTTCAATCCTATAGTGCAGGCATCACTGGATGAGCACTGGTTACTTATGGCCATCCTGTAATGTGTTCCCAGTGGGACATATTTGGGTTATTATGGGCAGGCATGTTCCCTTGAATGAACACCGGTCTCAAATAAATAAAGGTCTAAATGTTGAAGAGCTTAAAGGAAAATGTCATATTATTTGATGTCCTGGTCCCCTAGGACACAAAATATATACAGTGGAGGATATAAGTATTTGATCCCCTGCTAATTTTGAATGTTTCCCCATTCACAAAGAAATGATCAATTTAAAAATCGAATGTTAGGTGTATTGTAACACTGAGAGACAGAATAGCAACAAAAAATTCAAAAGAAATGCATGTCTAACAAATTATGCACTGATTTGCATGTTCATGAGGGAAATAAGTATTTGATGCCCTATCATTCAGCATGATTTCTGGCTACCAGGTGTCTTTCATACAGGTAACAAGCCGAGATTAGAAGCAGTCTCTTAAAGGGAGTGCTGCTAATCTCATTTTGTTACCTGTATAAAAGACACCTGTCCACAGGAGCAATCAAACAGATACCAAACTCTCCACCATGGCAAAGACCAAAGAGCTGTCCAAGGATGTCAGGGACAAGATTGTAGACCTGCACAAGGCTGGACTGGGCTACCAAACTATTGCCAAGCAGTTTGGTGAGAAGGTGACAACAGTTGGTGCAATCATTTGCAAATAGAAGAAACACAAAACAACTGTCAGTCTCCCTAGGTCTGGTGCACTATGCAAGATCTCACCTCGTGGAGTGTTAATGATCATGAGAACAGTGAGGAATCCTCCCAGAACTACACCTGAGGATCTTGTCAATGATCTCCAGGCAGCTGGGACCACAGTCACCAAGAAAACAATTAGTAACACACTACGCCGACAAGGATTGAAATCCTGCAGTGCCCGCAATGTCCCTCTGCTCAAGAAATCACATGTCCAGGCCCGTCTGAAGTTTGCCACTGAACATCTGAATGATGCAGAGGACGACTGGTTGAAAGTGTTGTGGTCAGATGAGACCAAAATCGAGCTCTTTGGCATCAACTCAACTCACCGTGTTTAGAGGAAGGGGAATGCTGCCTATGACCCCAAGAACACCATCCCAACTGTCAAACATTGTGGTGGAAACATTCTGCTTTGATCTATGTCGCTGCTTTGGGGGTGTTTTTCTGCTAAGGGGACAGGACAACTGTACCGCATCAAAAAGGACGATGGATGGGGCAATGTACCATCAAATCTTGGGTGAGAACCCTCTTCCTTCAGCCAGCGCATTGAAAATGGGTCGTGGATCGGTGTTCCAGCAAGACAATGACCCAAAATACACGGCCAAGGCAACAAAGGAGTGGCTTAAGAAGAAGCACATTAAGGTCCTGGAGTGGCCTAGCCAGTCTCCAGACCTTAATCCGATTGAAAATCTGTGGAGGGAGCTGAAAGTTCTAGTTGCCAAACGTCAGCCACCAAACCTTAATGACTTAATGGAGAGGATCTGCTAAGAGGAGTGGCCAAAATCCCTCCTGAGATGTGTGCAAACTTGGTGGCCAACTACCTCTGTGATTGACCACAAGGGATTTGCCACCAAGTACCAAGTTATGTTTTGTGAAGAGGATCAAATACTTATTTCCCTCATGAACATGCAAATCAGTGCCTCATTTGTTAGACATGCATTTCTTTTGAATTTTTGTTGCTATTCTGTCTCTCAGAGTTACAACACACCTACCATTCGATTTTTAGACTGATCATTTCTTTGTGAGTGGGCAAACATTCAAAATCATAAGGGGATCAAATACTTATTTCCTTCACTGTATAGCACTGCAAAAGCTGAGATCCAGTATGTGACAGCCTGCCACAAGCTCCACCCACCAATTTCCTAACAAAAGGGGGAGGTGTCAGTTTAACACAGAACAACAAATGCGCTCTCACAGCAGTGCTGTTCCTGTGCTGCACACATATACCGTGCCTGTTTACAAGCTGGGAGCAGCAGCAGAACAAAGCTTTAATGAATGATACCATTTGTTATGAAAGCCCCGTTCTGCAGTCTGTTTACAATTGGAAGGGGGACCTCAATCTGACACTCCCAGCTAGTAAACAGACGGGGCATGTATGTGCAGCACAGGAACATCACTGCTGTCAGCATGCTTGTGTTCATGTCAAAGGAACATGCCCTTCCCCTGCGTTCAGAGCGACAGTGCTTGTGTAAGGAACGCACATGGAGGACAACACATGTCTGTCAGAAATGGGTGGGGGGAGCTTGGGGCACTGAATCTCACCTGCTACAACTCCTAGGAAGGAACAAAGTGCTATGTATACTTTTTACCATAAGAGATAGGAGCATTGAATGATATATAAACTCATAGTTTTTCTTTACATCTGATCTCCAGCTTTTAGTGAAGTTTAAATAGTTCATGTGAACCAAGCTGGTCCAGTCGAACTCTTTACTTGGCTAAGACACGCTGAGCCTCTCAGCACCGTCTGAACTGTATGTTGGTTCAGCTACATACAGCAAATAGCGCTGTGTTCCAGCAGTGGAAACATCCTTTCCCTATCACTATACAAAACGGAGTTGGGCTGACAATAGGAAGCTTTGTAGTCTCTGAATACATACAAAGCTCACTCTCATTGGCTGAGGAGGACGGACAACGTCACTATCTCTGTCTCAGCCAGTCATAAGAAGCTTTGTATTCAGAAATCACAAAGTTTCTTATGAACAGCACTCAGCCCAACTCAGTTTTGTTCAGAGAATGGGAAGCAAAGTTCTCATCTCACTTATGGAAAATAGCTCCATGTCTTAGTGACCCACTTGGTCCATACAAACTATTTAAAATTCACTGAAAATCATGTTTGCAGCCTGCAAGAAATCATTCAAGTTTCCATTAATCATCTTTTTGATTTAATGGCTAACTAAAACACTGTTGAAATGGAGGGCATTCATATTATTGGTATCATAGTGAAATTCTATTTAGTGGAAAAATTGGAACAATGGGAACATACAGGGGTTAGATAAAAATGGAAACTCTACCTG